ACATGTGACACCGTCGGTGGTGCAATTGGGGCACACGGGTCTTTTCCCGGTGCAGACCAAACACACTGCCGAGCTGCAGCGACTCAAGGAGATGCTCGCTGCCACGGAAACCACCAACACCGACCTTCAGAAAGAGGTGAGTTGTACGTGGAGCGAAACTGTGGCCGGGGTCTTTATAGATCCCCATAGAAAATTATAGGCAATTGCCAGTTTTAGGAATGTGGAAATTATAATTATAAGGGAAATTTAGAGACGTTACTAAAAAGACATTCTTTCATCTTTAGTAAAATGTCTAAATTTAGCCCTTACGTGTACTGACACATTCTCTTTAGAATTTGGCTAAAAATGGTTTGCAAAAGTAGCCGCTGTGCATGTATTTTATTCACACGCAAGATATAATTGTATGAATGACAGTTTCCTGAAAGTATAGCCACATGATGTTGTACTACTGTGGGGGCTCTCTGGGTGTTTGTCGAGGTTTCGTTCCATTCCAACACAGAACAGCGATCTGCAGTTGAAGTTGGCACGGTCTCGGAACCAGTCGATGCGGGATATAGACCAGGGACTCAAGGAGAAGAGCGACAAGTGGGCAAAGGAGAGGAAGGCCATGGTGGACGAAAAGAAAGAGCTGCAAGCTGAACTGGACAAGGTACGTATGTATACATACAGTGTAGATAGTGTGTGTATAATACTGTATATGATGTGACCCACTACGGGAAAAGGTATACATTTTCTGTGCAAAAATACGCATTATTGTTTGAATGCACAACAAATTAATGCTGCATACAATGGTAAGAACCTGTGCCTTCGTAGCTGCTTCTGTTCTATATACATAGCACTATACAAAAAAACGTCCCAGTCCTTCTGCATATTATTCAGAGATATTGTGCATGGAACTTTGATTATGCAAATGGGGCGGAGTTGATCCTCGCAGCTACAAAAGACTTTTAACACTTAACCAGCCACCGACACATAAAATGTGTCCCGAGCCTAAATAAGCCCATAAGAATTTGTATATGGGGTCGTAATACTAGGCGCTAATACTTTATACATCAATATCTGCTTATTTAAGCAGATACCCATGGCGTCCAAAGGGATAAAGTGCATTATAGATGTGGCCCATTCACATACACAGGTAACCACGGGTTACGAGCAGCTGAAGATGACCAAGAAAGAACAGGAGTCTGAACTGTCGGAACTGCGACATAACAAGGAGCTACTCACCCAGTGGGAGCAGCAGATAGCCGACATCATCCAGTGGGTCTCGGACGAGAAAGACGCCAGGGCCTACCTCAAGAGTATGGCCAAGAAACTGGCCGACGACGTGGAAGGCCTGAAATCTACCGCCAACACTCTCAACAGGGTTTGTATAACCATCGTCTTTTCTCTTTATGACTTTAGAAGTAGCTGTATTTTTAAAAATTAATGCCACCTCTATTAAGTTTGTGCGTCCCTCTTCCCTCTTCCCTCTCCCCTCTCCCCCTCGTCAGCCGAAAGAGGAATGGATGGAGCGCCGCACTCTCCGCAGGGACAAACAGGATTTCCTGGACCTACAGCTCAGCCTCCAGTCTGAGATTGACGCAAAGTCAAAGATCGCCAAGGACCTCACCGACCTGAAGGCCCACTATGCCGAGATGGAAAGGTACACGTACGTAACTCGATGAACTGAAGTGTAGCCTGGCATTCATTCACATTGTGTGTGAAAAATTTTTTTAAATCTTTGGCTAGGTTCACAATGGGTCGCATTGCCCCTCCGCACTGTGCCGTGCTGCCGCATCACAAAGATAGATCTTCGTGGCACTGCGCAACAGGGCAATGCGACGTATTGTGGACCTAGCCTACTCACACTCCTCCCGTCTCTCCATTTTCTTTACTCACCCTCTGTCTTTTTCTCTTTCCATGCTCCCTCTCTCCTCTTTCCTCGTTTCCTCCTTCCCTCAGTCGGGTGGCTCAGGCAGACGGCGAGAGTGCTCGACTAAAGAAAGAAAACGAGAAACTGTTGAGCCAAATGCATCAGTCGAGACTAGGTAGAGCAATAATTATGTTGAATACATCAAATAGAAGTGAAGGGTTATGCCCACTGCATCAGTGTATGTGTGTTTCAAATTGTGCTAAACTTCCTGCTTGTCATACGTGAATGAAAGGATGTACTTGGCGAGTGAAGGGAGCCCCCCGTTTATGAGGTTGCACCCATAGTACTTTGGCCATTGACCATGCACCCAGAGCAATGGGCAGAACCAAAAGCACCTGAACATACACATACATAGAGATAGACCGGTTTCACCCTCTCTCAATTTCCTTCTCTTTGTCTGTCTCCCTCGTCTCCTCCTATCTCTCTTCGACCCCTCTAGGTTCCCGCTCTGACAGTAACAGTCATTTCTTCTCGTCCGGAGTCTATTCCAGTCCGGAACCAAAACAGCAAGCCCCGTCCCCTACCTCTAAATCTTCAAAGCAAGCCAGAAAGGTAGGAGAGTCTATCCGTAATCTCTTTCTGCCATTAGCGTGCTCTCATCTCCTGCGCATGTTCATACAATAGTATGTGAGGTGAATAGTAGTATGTACATGCAGTCTCATAGTTGAAAAGTTTTATGTATCCTTACAATAGCGACATCATAATGACATCATCTGTATTTCAGACCCCAACGAAGGAGAGTACGCACGAGCTGATAGTGAGGACGTTTGACACGCCCACCAAGTGTGACACGTGTACCAGTGTCATGTTTGGACTGGTTCGACAGGGGCTTGTCTGCAAGAGTGAGTTGCAGCGAAACCTCTCAATAAGGGGACGTTGAAAGTGTCCTTTATTCAGAGGCGTCCTTTATTTGGAGGTAGTATAATACACTGATGTATTAGTATGGGGCAGAAGCAAGTTTCCATATTATGTTGGAGGTTCTTCTCAGAGGTTTCAGCATATAACGTACGTGTGTTTAGGGAAATATGAGGGAATGGGCATTTTCCCAAGATACGCCCCTATTTGTGATGTATATACGTTTGTGAGTATAGATAGATCTTTGACATTAATGTTTCTCTGTCATTCCCTCTCTCTCTCTCTCTCTCTCTCTCTTCTCTCTCTCCTCTCTCTCTGTCCTCTCGTTTCTTTCAGACTGTCAGATGAGCTGCCATGTTCACTGTAAGGATAGGGCAGTACCGACTTGCCCCCTACCCCCTGGACAAGGTAGTCAGTTACAAGAACGAATCTAACACATTTTGATGGAGTAGTTGATTTTTCGCGCGTGTATTTAGAATCAAGTGAAGTATAAGATAAATGAGATTACCAGGTTGGCCCGCTTCACTCGCAAATAAGTATGAGATGGATGCTTAAAGAACACACAACAATATACTTGCATCCAATATAGTTATATACTGTACCTACATTCATTACAAAATCTTATGCTACATAAATGTAGAAGCTAATGTTACCACTAAGCTAATTTTTTTCCTTATCTTCCTCTCTCCTCTTTTTCCAGCCAAGTTGCCGTTTGGTATCGATGTCCACCACGGGGTGGGGACTGCGTGCGAGGGATGGATCAAGATCCCAAAACCGGGTGGAGTCCGGCGCGGTTGGCAACGAGCCTACGCCATCGTGTGTGACTTCAAGGTCTTCCTTCACGAGCCTAGCAACGACATACACACTCCGTCAGTCAGTGCCAGTCACATCTTTGACATCAGGTCTGTTTGTCTATAAACTATCTAACAGTATTGGAACACCTTTATACGTACTTTAAAGGGAATGTGTCCGTATATAAGGGCATTTAATAAGGAACTGGAATTGCTTGATGCAGTGCACTTAGATCTATTGTATCACATCCTGTTCTTTTTCAAAGGGACATAAACTTCAAAGTGTCTCAGGTGACCAGACAAGACGTCATCCATGCTGGTCCAAAACTCATCCCTGCCATCTTCAAGGTATATATGTATATGTACAATAGGTTCAAGGTTTGACATGGCTAGATTTGTCCTGCATGTGTGGAATTCCTTCTTCATCCCATACCGCATGTTATTTTTTATTTTTTTCAACCTTAGAAGTTACTGTTTTGCCTAAAACAAACCACAGATAGGTTGAATTAGTGCTTAACATTCGGTTATCTTTTTTATGCATGTCCAGTATCAATCTGTGTAAGTACAGTTTGGCATTGCACTGCGTTCACATACGTCTGTCTGAGGGCTGGGCATTTTTTTTCTTTTTGTAGAAATTATTCAGCACTGTGTCACATTCATGAACATCTCTGTGGAGAGATTGAGGGCTGGCTATTTTTAAAAATTTTTTGCCCTTAAACAATCCATGAAATAGTGTAAAGCATTCAGTATATATACCTCAGTCTTTTTATGGGGAGTTGGAAATTCAACCCTCATTCTCCCTCTCTCCCTCTCTCCCTTCAGATGTCGTGCAACCAGACAGGGTGTCCAGGAATAACCAGTGAGGCTCTGGTTCTAACAGAGAACGAAACTGAGAGAGATCGCTGGCTGGCAACTCTGGAGGAGCTACAGAAGGCGGCCAAGCAGAGCACACAACATGGGGTGAGCAACACTGAAAATGGAACCATTTTCTATTGTGACAATCAGTGTGTCTGCACTAAATGATTGCACTAACTGTGGTAATAGTTTCATGATTTTGTTCTCTAAGAGCCCTCAACTAAATGACTCACCTATTATATGGGGTGAGCAACACTGAAAATGGAACCAAAACGATTGCACTAACTGTGGTAATAGTTTCATGATTTGATGTATTTGTCTAAAAAAAAACTACTGGAAATGTGTTAGCAGCAAATATTTCGTTGCATCTTGAACCAATTTCTTTATTAACCAATGATCGTAATTGCTCCATGCTGTATGTATGTAATTACCGTGGTGCTAATCGTATATTACACCGTTACACAGGCTCCAATATTCAGTGTTCGAGAGATGTACAGCACCAACCAACTGGAGGTGTTGAAGTCGGCCCAGTCCGCTGCCATCATGGACCCTGACCACCTCCTCATCGGTGACTCGGAGGGACTCTACATGCTGGACATGGCCGAAGAGGGACTGTACAAATTTGGCGACAAAGACGTGAGGAAGGTGTCACAGATTTCGATGATCGAGGAAGAGGGACTCATCGTGTTGTTGGCTGGTGAGTTGGGGGGGGAGGGGTGAGGGAAGGGTGTGTAGGAGAAAGAGAGACGAAGAGAGAAAAGATTAGACAGAGTGACGCACATAAACAGTGTGGAATTATCCTTCAAAGAGAAGAAAGGGGCAATATGTTGCATATGTCACACACGTGCATGAACCATTATGACGTATACACGAAGAACAGAAAGTAGCATAAAAAACAGCATGAAATTATAGTTCATAGCATGCACGTCAAATCTTCACTTGGCCCACTAGAAAGATACTGAAACATACATACACAGAGTCGACAGTGCAGACATACCGATTATGTAATATATTCTGATGATTGGTGATTTAATGTATTTTTTTAATGATTGATGATGTAATGGGGTTATTCCCCCAGGTCGTACGCGCCAGTCGGTGCGACTCCTGCCAGTATCGGCGTTGGAGAGTGGCGAGATAAAGAACGTTCTCATCAAGGTCACCGAGACTGAGGGTGAGTGTGTCATCAACATCGTGTGGTATAGTTTTGAAGTACCTTGTGGTGTTCAATACAACCGAAATCTTTGTACCCTACAAACCTCGTTTCCCTTGCGAATCTGTTCGTAGAGAAGGTTTGTTAAAAAGCACTCTTTTCACACAGCGTCCCTGTCATCACTTAGTAAAGTTACTTGAATATAGTGTTTGGGTGTGTTTGAACTATGAAGTCACTGTGATATACGTGGACGAGAGCGCTCGCCTAGACTGCAGAGTGTCGTGGTTCAAATCCCACCAGGGCAGCTCTTCTTTTTCCTTGGAAAGAAGAGTTGCCCTGGGTGTAGTTGACCTGTTTGCTTTGCCTCTGCCTGTCTACCTCACCTTGTTGTTAACACATGTATTTGTAATCTTTCGTAAGACCCTATCCCCTCTTCACCACTGTATGTACGTTAGGTTGTTCGTCGTTCACATGTGGCTCACTGGGCCACACCTGGTACATATGTGTGGCAGTCAAAACCAGAGTCCTCGTCTTCCACATCAACAAGACCAAGACCAGATACGAGAAGAGGAGGGTAATACATGCAGTCATGCGCATTACACAGTAATACGTGTGTGTGTGTGTGCTTACAAAATTAGAAACAATAGTATGTAGAACGTAACTTGCTTTCTGGTTTGACCTAAGAGTCTGTCCTCCATGTAGCACAGTATAAGAAGAGAAGTGTAAGAAGTGTGTATTACATGTATGTATCCTTAGCTTATAACTTGCTTTCTGGTTTGACCTAAGAGTCTTTCCTCCATGTAGCACAGTATAAGAAGAGAAGGGTAAGAAGTGTAATAGATGTATGTATCCTTAGCTTATAACTTGCTTTCTGGTTTGACCTAAGAGTCTGTCCTCCATGTAGCACAGTATAAGAAGAGAAGTGTAAGAAGTGTAATAGATGTATGTATCCTTAGCTTATAACTTGCTTTCTGGTTTGACCTAAGAGTCTTTCCTCCATGTAGCACAGTATAAGAAGAGAAGGGTAAGAAGTGTAATAGATGTATGTATCCTTAGCTTATAACTTGCTTTCTGGTTTGACCTAAGAGTCTTTCCTCCATGTAGCACAGTATAAGAAGAGAAGGGTAAGAAGTGTAATAGATGTATGTATCCTTAGCCTTTCTGGCTAAGAGTCTTTCTAGTTAACACCTAGTTAACACCACACATGAAACAACACTGTGAAACCCTAAACAGCGAAGAATTTCAGTTGTTTCATTTGTTAAGCCGGCCAAATTTTCTATCTTATTGAACTCTGTGAAATTCCTCCTCTCTCTCTCTCTCTCTCTCTCTCTCTCTATTTCTGCAGGAGATTTCTCTGCCAAACCAAGTCCAGAGTCTGAGCGTATTGGGAGACAATGTGTGTATTGGCTACCAGTCTGGGTTCTCTCTCTACCATCTCTACTCTGACAAACCTGCTCAGAGTAAGGGGCCTGGGTTGTAGGTGTAGCAATAGAATAGGATGACCCACAAACCTGCTCAGAGTAAGGGGCCTGGGTTGTAGGTGTAGCAATAGAATAGGATGACCCACAAACCTGCTCAGAGTAAGGGGCCTGGGTTGTAGGTGTAGCAATAGAATAGGATGTATATACTACAAACCTGCTCAGAGTAAGGGGCCTGGGTTGTAGGTGTAGCAATAGAATAGGATGTCCCACAAACCTGCTCAGAGTAAGGGGCCTGGGTTGTAGGTGTAGCAATAGAATAGGATGACCCACAAACCTGCTCAGAGTAAGGGGCCTGGGTTGTAGGTGTAGCAATAGAATAGGATGTATATACTACAAACCTGCTCAGAGTAAGACAAGGCAATAGCGTACCTTTTTTGGCTAAAGCCTGCACTGTAGCACTAGAGAGTATCTTTAAAGCCCATGTAGTGCTTTATTGATACCAATACCTAAGCTGCTTTATAAAGTATGTATTATACATTATGGGTACATATATACCGCCAAGCATTGCTTGACTTGTCCATATCTCCTACATTCAGAACTGGTTCACGATGATGACCTGACACTGGGGTTTGTCCGTCTCAACAGTCTGCCAGCACTGCACGCCGTCCAGATCAATAATGGACAAGAATACATCCTCTGCTTCAATGGTATATATACATACACACTAAAACACCAGTCTTACAATAATATCCTGGTGGGAATTTGGTGGTAATTCATTTATTTGATCTGTATTCATTATAAGAAAGCGTGCTTCTTTTTTGTCCTGTACATCTCCTTCTTTCTCCTTTCTCTCTCTCTCCTCTCTTCCCAACTCCTCCCTCAGTGGTGGGTGTGTATGTCAACCAAAATGGAAACCGCTCAAGAAAACAAGAGCTTCTCTGGCATTCCTCTCCAACGTCCTTCGGTAACATACGTAAATGCTGAGTGGAAGTGTACTATGCCATAGCACAGTGGTTTGAGGTTTGAGGTTTGCCTATTGCGTTGATGATGTGAACCTCTACCTGGTTAGTTGCCCTGGTAGCTTAGCTGGTAGAGTGCAGCAGAGTGTCGTGGGTTCGAATCTAATCCCAACCAGGACAGCTCTTTTTCCTTTAAAGAAAGAGATGCTCTGGGTGTAGTTGTTTTGTTTGCCTTGCTTCGATCTCGTTGATGACACGTGAACCTGCAGCCACGTTAACTTTGGTTTAACTCCCTCCCTCCTCCACTCTCCTTCTCTCCCAGCCTATCTGGCTCCCTATCTGTTGGTGTACTGTGAGAGTGCCCTGGAGATCTACGATGTCAACACAGCCAAATGGATCCAGACTATTCCTTTCAGGAAGGTATGTACACAATAATTATAGTACCATCATTTTGAATCGACAATACAACTGAAATCCTAATCCCTACTGAATGTAGCATTTGTATGAAATTTGGCAGGCAAATTGTTACTGAAAAACATAACTATTGCACTGGTTAGCCTAAATATAACCCTTACACGTATGTACTGCCACATTCCATTTAACAATGTTCCTTCTGATGTTCACTTTTACTCTTCCATCCCTCCTTACGGTTCAGCTCCATTCCCTGTCTGAGAATGGGTGTCTGGCCAGTTCCAGTATGTCTGATCCTCCCATTCTCCTCTACATCAAAAAACAGATGGACCAAGGTAGAGTACGACCAATTTTCTCTAATCTACAACTACAACGCGTGTTTGGAATCGAAGATATCAAGAATGAATGTGGCAAGGCTAAATATAGAAACTGTTGCTGAAAATCAGAAAATTAAATGAATTCTTGCACATGGCCCTATGGTTTGGTAGCATTTCTAGATTCAGCCCTTACGTAATGCCACGTTCTCTTGAACTTCATGTGAATGCAAAGCAAACACATTTTCACAGATCATAGCATGCTGGAAGCAATTTCATTAGATGCAGTGTCATGTCTACGGTCTGACTAGAACCATTCACGTGGTCGTTAAGTGTAATTATTCATCAATCCTATTTTAAGTGTTTGGGTTAACTGTGTGCTAACTGGTTTATGTTCCACACAGATGCAATCCACATACCAGGGCTGTCAAGAAAGAACACGGACCGCATACGAGCCAGCAAAAGAAAGGCTGAGTGAGTCACAAATATAAGTGTTTGTGTTTTTTTTCATTTTGCCATTTTTACTTACGCAGTCCAAGAGCGCAGAAAAAGGCCCTACCAGGAAAGTAAGGACCTTACTATATATACCACAAACTAAGAACATTTTTTTCAATTTAAGTTGTCTTGTTTTTTCTCTTTTTCAGAGCGGCCATTTCAGGACCGACAAACTTCACTCATGTCGAGCATTTCGGTCCCTACCAGAGCCTCAACCCCGAGGAAATGCCTGTCAGTTAGGGGGAGATAATGAATGCATATACTAAAGAGCAATCTTAAAGCTGTTGTGCAGAGAAATTCTCAATTTTAAACCTGTCTAGAGAAACTGAGTAGGGAAGCTACTCAAACTGGCTCTAGTAAGCCAAAACGACATGCATACAGAAGAACGGAAGCTCACTTTTTAAGCTTGTATCTTGGTGCATTCTACCAAGTTATAGTGGGTGTGGGATTTCTAGCCTCTATATCCGTCAGTGGAGTTAGCTCTGGTAACACCCCTTCCCTTTGAATGCGCCTATTTTACCTCTGCACGTAGTACTGTGCTACGTAAACGCATGCTTTCAGCCATCACGTATGAGGCTTGCTATCTTCACTGTAAAGACTGCTGTGGTGTGTGTGTGTGTGTGTGTGGTCTGTACTGCAGGATGCAGGGACGTTGACTGGAGAGGCAGAAGTAGGTCCCAGTCCATCCATCCAGAGTCTCAGTGCCATTCAGGCTGGACCGGGTGGACCTCACAGTAGGAAGAACTCCGAGAGAGATGTAAGTAGCTCTATAATATAGTAGAACCTCTGATAAAATATGGCGCAACAGAAAAAAATTCCTTTCAATAAAGGACACACTTTGAGGTCCCAGATGTTCTTTTCTTCATTTGTAGTACATTTTTAACCTCCGAAGAGAGGAAACCTCCCTTTTAAGGACAAAATGCCTGGTCATTTCCATTATTATAGAGATGTGTCAATTATAGAAGCTCTGATAAAGGAGGAGTGTGATAAGTATGTACTGTAGGTAAGAAGAGAAGAGAGAATGGAGAGGAGGAGGGAGGGATTAGAGGAATGAAGAAGAAGGGGGTAGAGAGGGAAGAAAGAGAGGGGATTTAAGTGAGAATAGAGAGGGGAGCAGTTAAAAGAAGGAAATGAGAAAGGAGGAGGAGAAGAGAGAGGGGGAGGCAAAGAGTAAGAGAAGGCTGGAGAAAAATGTTTCTTTCTGCAGACGTTTTCTGATGCACTGAACATTGACAGATTATCAACTGGAGCCGGTAAGCAGCATAACTCTTAATCGAACTATAATTATATTCTGTCTACCTCGTAACAGATATATCAAGTATATTTGACAAGTACGGCTACAAAAGCGGTGGACTGGGCTCTTTCCTGGACGAAAATGGGCAATAATGTTTCAACCATCCGATAGTTATCCACAATGCATTTATTATGAACACTTGTGTGTTTGTGGGGCAGAACTTATTAACTGTTACATTTTTGTATCATCATAAGTACTACACTTATTCATAATAATATCTAATATATACCTTAGATATTATTTGTATGTGTGGAACACCACACGAAAGGAGACTATATTTATTGTTCATTAGTTTCTTTTTTATTCCACACAAGCTATTGGTTAATTTTTGCTCCAATAATAATTTTATGGCTTGATTATTAACCCTCATCGCGCATGCGCAGCGAGGAGTACAGTCGTTCTGTAGCTAGCTGTGTGTGTGTATATACGTGTCCGCGACTATTCTTCGCACTACAGGCTACGAGGCGGCTTATGAGTGATACCAACAGCTTTAGCGGTATATATAATATACATGGGCTAGAAAAGTAAAATGGCGATTTTGCTGAAACGACTGCGTTCGAGAGCGACAAACTGGCACGGTCGCGGACAGCGTTGCGTGGCCCAACCCGTCAATAAGCGGTGAGCATGCGTGTATTAGACGCGGTCAACGCAGTATGCTGGCTCACCTAGACCTCGACCTGATCCGCTTCTCTGTGTACCTTGGAGCACAAGAAGCCACAGCGAAGGGTGTGTATCGACTCCCGCATGCTATCTACTACTGTAGCTAGCCAGTGTCAGACTCTCCGCAAGACCGCGCAATAGCCCAGCCCACCCCCATTAGCGGTACCGCGCATGCACTATATTTCACACTGTTCCCGTAATCGGTGGGGGTCCTGGTATGATGGGTAAGCACCCCCTCTCTTGATCGTGAGGTCCCTGGTTCGATCCCGGGTGTGCGGATTTTTTTTACAATGATGTGTATGTAGTGTAACTGGAACGTTTTTTCATCACCTCTCAAGGCCAGCCCGAGTGGCTAGGTGGTTAGAGTCGTGGGGACTGACACCATAGGTGCCCGGTTCGAATCCCTATCCCGCACTAAAATGTCAGGTGGTCCAGAGCATTGGCTGGGAACAGCTCTGGTTCCTCCCCTTACCCACAAATCGACCACTGACCCATGCTTCTCAAAGGGCAGCGTATAGTTCGGCATTGCACTGCGTCCGTAGACGTCTGTCTGGAGAGATGAAGGGCTGGGCGTTTTTAAAAATATTTTTTCAACTAGGTTTTTAACTTTGTTTTGCACTAAACAATTCACGGGTAATCCGAAAATTAATAGAGACAGAAATAGGGCTGGCCATTTTTTTTCCAACCTACCATGGAAATGGTGCATAACATGCTGTTCTTTTTGATGCTCAAGACCATCAATTGTGGTGGTGCCAAACTTGTGTATGGGTTCCACATAGTGTGCGGAGGAGGGTTCATTGAGCATGAAATTAGTATGCATGAGAGAGAAGTTGGGGTATGCTTTGCTGATGAGGGCCAACAAGCCTGAAACAGCTGTCCAGAGCTCCACATCTTTTTTCTCTTGGCATCACATGGTCTATTGTTACATGTGAGCAAGGAGTAAACTTTGAGGAAATTAAACTCTTTGGATGCCATGGGGATCTGCAAGCAGAAATTGATGTACAGAGTATTAGCGCCTAGTAACATTGTGGACTTATAATGGAGGTTCTGGACACAGAGGTAGTGTCCTCCTTATGTCATGCTTTTTTTGCCACTAATTACTGTATAATGAAAAGCACTGAAGTGCAAACCCTCGGCGCACTGTAACGCGCACGCGTAAGTAAACGCATGCGCCGTACCACTAATTGATGGGCTGGGTTTAGTTTTAGCTGTTACTCGCGGTCTCTTGCCAGCTCGCGCAGAGTCTGACGCGGGCTAACTACAGTACTAGATAGCATGCGAGAGGCGATACACGCCCGGCGTTGCATCTTCTGGTGCCTCCGAGGTACGCAGAGCACGCGGATCGATCCGACTGTGGTAAGCCGTCCCGTCCGTTGTGTATTTGCATATTGGCTTTTTCGCGCTGTAGCTCTGCAACGGAGCATTTTCAGAGAAAACCCCACATATTTTCGGACCTTCATTGCCCGTTAAGTAGATCGTATCCTTTGTGAGACGAGCAAACACCCGTGAAGTGAGATGTAGAGTAACACACAGACAGACAGACACAGACAGACCCAATGAAAAGCACTAAAGTGCAAACCCTCGGCGAACTGGGGATGCGCGGTACCGCTAATTGATGGGCTGGGCTGCTATTAGTATGCGTTTACTCGTGATCTCCCGCTAGTAGCTCGCAGAGAGTCTGACACGGGCTAGCTACAGTAGTAGATAGTATGCGAGAGTCGATACACGCCCTTCGTTGTGACGTCTTGTGCCTTCAAGATACACAGAGCAAGCGGACGACCCGGTCGAGGTTATAAGCGCATGCGCATTTTCCGCAGCGATAAAAATGGCCGACTACGCATTAGCCGTACAATGGTGGAAGCGCTCTAGCTCTGCAACGGAGCATTTTCAGAGAAAACCCCACATATTTTCTGACCTTCGTCGCCCGTTGGGTAGATGGTAGCGTTTCTGGGACGAACAGACATTCGAGAAGTGAGATTGAGAGTAACAGACACACACACACACCCAACTACAGTACCCTCGCTGCGCATGCGCGCCGAGGGTAACTACTGTAACCCTCGCTGCGCATGCGCGCCAAGGGTTAATTATATATTTTACTCCTATAAATCTAGATACCTACGGAATCAACACACTATATACTATCATCCACACTCGCGTGGGATTTGCGAGTATATTTCACTAAGTGACCTTTAAACGCTGACCTCACGTGTGTCATGATTATCGAAAGCCCACACAAAGTACACGTACACACACCACACCCACATCCGCTCTTTACATAATGAGGAGTGTCGGTATCTCCTTACAGTTTTTATTTCCAACTACCGTCTAGCTGGCTTGTTGCGGGTAACCATGGCGGAATACGGGGAACGCGCTAAGAAAAGCAGTCTGACGCACTTGGTGCATTCCACGATCGGGCTCGGATTGTTGAAACCCGCGGAAACGGCCGTCTCCTCCATTTTGAGCAGCCCTGAAGAAGACGGTATGGCGGCTCGGCTCACCTTTTACTCCAAGACGAGTGCCGGGAGCGTGTCGAGTGAGAAAGCTGCACTGGACGTGGAAAGCGACGATGGTCTAACCAGTCTCGATACGGGAAAGAGGAGGAATAAAGGACGCCTCCCTCACCAGCCCTCACAAGACGGGTAAGTAAGCGTCTCTTGGGAGCCAAGTAACTAACCTCTCCAACAGAGATAGGTAGACTAGAAAGCTCGGGATCAAGAGCCTTATATCACGCGTCACATCGCTTGCCAATCTTTAGGGAGGTGTTAGTAGAGCTAATGTTGAACCCGAGCTGAAGATACACTCTTACTACTCAGAGTTCAGATTGATAAGATAATACATAATTATACAACCTTACTGTGTACATAGTGAGTTCTTTCTGTGGTTGTTGATAACACAAAAGTGAATACAACACATTTATTCGGTCATCAATTATGCAAGTACAGAACATGGATCGGATATGTACATATTCATATACGGGGCGTGGTATATATAACCCTTGTAAAGTGACACAAAACGGGGATGTGCGTACAACAGCAGGACCTTTACCAACAGGTCGATGATGTACAAACACAAAGTTGACACATTGCGTAGGCTGACTCCATTAAACAGTGACTAACAAATTCGGCTACACTTACAGTAAGGGTTTTAATTGCACCATTGATTGTGTTAATGAAGAAAGCTGTGATTACTATAAGTGAGATATTTAATTAGTTAGTGCACCTTCCAGTAATAACACACTTGGTTTATAATGAAGTATATACATAATTTCCAGCCTCTAAACTTCCTTCAACACAGTTAATACTGAAGCAGGATTTTGCCCCGTGACTCTTAGCAGTTACTACAACCCACACACTAGCAGCCGTGCCATTGTTTTTCCCTCTCAGTGACAAACTGTGTGTGTCCGTCCATTCATCAGCTGCCAATATGTTGTCTAGTACGTCCCACAACTTCTCCCAAGCATTATGCTACATTTGCTATAATTAACTAATGAGTGTAGTGTGTGTGTGTGTGTGTGACAATAGACAGCATAGTATAGCCTGATGCTGTAGACAAACACTGGGGGTTAAAAGGTCACGAAAGTATTGCATTTCCGCAAGGTAATTAATTTTCCAGTGATGTTAGCCAAATTAAGTAGTTAGGGGTGATTTACTATGCCACGCCCCCTTCCCCTTCTCTTAATCTCTTCCTTCTTTCATCCGTCCCTTCTCTCCCTCTTCTCCCTCCATTTCTTTCCCTCACTCCCTCCTCCCTCTCTCCCTCTTTCTCCCTCCATTTCTTTCCCTCACTCCCTCCTCCCTCTCTCCCTCTTTCTCCCTCCATTTCTTTCCCTCACTCCCTCCTCCCTCTCTCCCTCTCTCCTTATCCCCCCTATTACTCACTAGTATATTGGCATACCTGACCGTTAATATCATGTTCGTTCTGCGCCGTGTGATAATTGCCTGTTGTTGACGAAGGATACTGTATTTCAAAATCTCGTTTCCCCGAAATATAGTTCTGGGTATATACACCGCAATAGATTCTGACTATTTTGGCGAGCAGTAAACGACCGTCTGTGATTTAGTTATATTTTTCAGGCTCACGTAGTTCTGCAGCCGTTGGTATCGCTGATACCTCGTAGCTTGTAGTGCCAGAATAGCTACTGACAGACAGACACACACAATATGCAACTTTTATGTTACATTATACATACATACATGGGATAATATGACGGTCGCATGTGAATGTGAAATATGCATTCTAGCGTTAGTCTGTTGTTGTTGTGGCATGTGAGGCATTTATTTAGATCAATTAACAGATAGACCACCAGATGCCGTGAAGCCAAAACCCCACGCAGCTTCGGAGCCAAGAAATAATGCTTTGGACATTACACAACTCGCGTATTAAACGCAATACAAACCAATGCAATTTACCTCTCCCTTTACCAGTTTTTGGTTTTTTAAAATATTTTCAGTTCCATTTACCTACCAGCAGGCACATTGTAATTGCGAAGGGTTCGAGTCCCGCACAAGGCAGCTCTCTTTCTGGCGTACTTTGCACTTTATAATATCTCACTCTGATTGATGGCTATAAGCAGACAGTAGGTGGATGCCACATACATACTTGGCAATTGAACATGTATGTAACAAATTGTGTATACCCTAGGCCATGCAACCAGCGTATACCATACACACACACGCACGCACACACATATTGTGTGATGTGATTGTCACCTACCAACTAAAAATTCTAACAAAGTGCCCGAAAGCCCACCTGGTTGCTTGGTGCAATTTAATCAGTTCATCCTGACGGCAGTTCAAATGTTTGGCTGGTTGCTCTGACTTCCACTACAGTCTATGCCAAGTACACATTGTAGCCCAACACAGCATGCAGGGGGAGGACTCGTTACACACCATTACACAAAAGTTACGACTGTTAAATTGTTATTTCCTAGAAACGCTGCATGAATCCCCACAAGTACAGACAAGAATGTATACAATAGCCTTTAGCTACATACATACATGCACGTGTATCTATTATACTGCGTATCCTGCTACGATTTATGTTAACTGTAGTACAATGTGAGTACACTGCAGTGTAGAGTAGTGGAGGATCTACTTGGGAAAGAGAGAATCACTGTGTGCAAGGACAAACAGAAACCACGGGAATACCAACGCCGACGGAAAACAGGGAAACAAAGTTCACGGTACAGTGAACTTGTGGTCGCGAGTTATTCCAAGGATGTAGGAGGGTGCTACTACTGAGCCTGACTTAACCGCGCAACGTCGTATGTACAATGTGGGGGTCACGTTATCTGGGGGCCGACCCATAAAACCAATTTTTTCACTATCAAGTTGTGTGCAGAGTAAGTTAAGGGGTGTTTTTAGAGAGGAGTTAGCCAGAAGAAGATCACAAAATGGGTGCCATATGTCTCTGCTGCCTCTCGCGCTAGCGTATTGTTGCTCCTGTCTGTTTGTGTGAATGTATTCTCGTTCCTCCCTGCCTGTCTTCTCTCTGTTCTCCATCCCTCAATGTACATGTATAGCTCGCAATAGTCCTCACCAATCACTGTCTCTGTACAGTGGAACCTCCGAACAAGGGTCTCTTAATCTCCGAACAAGGGACACTATGGAGGCCAATGTTTTGTCCTTGTAGAGAGGTTGTCCTATCTCGAGGTCAAATAATACACAAGTACTAGCATGGGGTTGAAACAAGTGTCCCTTTGTAGAGAGGTTGTCCCTATCTCGGAGGTCAAATAATACACTAAAGTATTAGCATAGGGTTGAAACAAGTGTCCTTTGTAGAGAGGTCGTCCCTATCTCGGAGGTCAAATAAAACACTAAAGTATTGGCATAGGGTTGAAACAAGTGTCCTTCGTAGAGAGGTCGTCCCTATCTCGGAGGGTCCCTTATCGGAAGTTCCTCCACTGTATTGGGTTGACGTTTTTCTGGATCAATATTAATCTCTCCTCCATCCATCCCTCTCTCCCTAAAGCTCCGTATTTGGAGATGAAGTGGAGCACGTCACCATGGGAGTCAAAAGAATGGGGTCGGACACCGAACTCATCGGAGTACAAGAAGCTCTCAATTTCGTGGCTCAAAGTTCGTCAGTCTCATCAACGCTGGGTGCCGTTGCAGTTCCGTCGGTTCGCGACAGGTCCATGTCTCTCCAGCCTGCCGCCTCTGCCATCAAGTTCTTCACAAAACCAATATCGTGGGAGGTACAGTGTTCTACTGTATAATATACAGCATTATATGTATGCACATAATTTAAAAAAATCTGGAGATGTACATATCAACGTTAAGGCCCGGATGTTTACAGCATTTTCTGGCCTTAGAACTTCCCCTCCCATGTCATATAATACGTAACTGAATACTCTGTAACAACATGTGCTGTGTACATGTTGTTGTGGCTTGTTTACATGTACATGTCACATGGTCTAATATCATCATGTATCTATTATAATAGGCAAATAGCACCATTTTTGTGTACGTGTTAGTGGAAGTTCCAATAGGATAGAATTACCTCATTGGTTAGGATGGAATTACAGCCTCCTGTACTGTAGTGTATTATGCTACCACGAGGTTTTGCCACTCGTAGAGGAAGTTCTATCATACCAGCCCATGTAATGTAGTACAACACAATAGCAAGTGTATGTAACGTGCTGGTAGAAGCCTGAAGGACTTTGCATTGTGTGTGTGTGTGTGTGTGTGTCTTTTCGAATTTTCCGTGTTGTGAGCCACGTTTCTGCACATGATAACAATGGAATGTGCCTCGGGGAGGATTTCTATATGTAGAATGTCCTCTGACCAGTCAGGCGAATACTGAGTGATTATTCCTCTGATTGAAACCAATCAGATTTCAGAACTCACCAGAGTCTGGCTCTAGACGTGTTGATTTCACGGGACGAGCTGCCTTAGAGCGAACTTAAAAATCGGTGTACAGTGCGCGACATAAGCAATCGGCAAAAAAGGTTTTGTCCCTAGTACACATTAACTGCGTATATATACATTCACTCGCGTATACATTCAACATGCATCGTAATAAAAGGGGCCTACTGTATATTGAAAGCGTCGAAACATATGTATAATAGTGCGTGTTTTGCCGTTACAGTGTAAATGTTTGTGCTCGTGTGTATGCGTCTTTAAGAACTGAAACGCTTTCACAGGAGCAAGGATACAGCAGTGTAAAGTGACAACTGAAACTGGCTGCTATAAACAACGGATCTAAACCTTCATAACATATGATATTATTGTGCCACAGTACAAATAGTATGCATAGGGCGCATGCATAACATTATCGTCTGCTTGTGTTTTGTGTGTATTGACAGCTGTGACAGTTTAATATCTGCTGTATATACCTCTTAAATCAACACACAAATGGATTGTGGCGTTAGAAACTGTATTGTTAGGTTCTCTAAATTGAGCTGTGTTTGTGATTGTGTAAATAGCCTGTTTTCCTTTTCTTTCTTCTCTTCTTCTATCTGTATTTATTGTTCTCCCTCTCTCTTTCCTTTTTATTTCCTCCCCCTCCTTTTCCCTCCCTCCCCTCTCTCCCTCCCTTTCTCTCCCCTCTCCCTCCCTCTCTCTCCCTCCCTCTCTCTCCCTCCCTCTCTCTCCCTCTCTCCCCTCCTTCTCCCTCCCCCTCCCTTTATCCCTCCCTCACGTACAGGAAAATGCGGTAGCAAACCAGCACATATTTCATGAAGTTGACACTCGAGAAGCGTGCTACTTCACTGACTCAATACACTGCCAGGTACATATATATTATATACATACGTCCTCTGTGGTATGCATAGTATTGTCCCATACTTCACCCCCACTAATCACGCAGCATTGACATAGTTCTTGGTCCAAATCTTGAGAGTGAGATATCCAATCAGATCGCAGAATCGGTATTCAAAATCACATTGTACCGACAATTGATATATGAGTTGAACATTCATCAATTCTATGTCTTTAATGTTTTGCTTTGAATGATACATTCGTTGAGATACGTACTGTACATCAAGTTGGGCTTCAGATGAAGTCTTTCAAAGAACGGTTTTTTCTTTACATTCGTGCAGCAAGCCAAACTGTTTCACCAAACAAAGCGACAAAAGATTCGTTGCTCAGGTATTCACGTAATTAACTGTGTGTACTATATATATACCATACCATGGTACAGTATGTGCCCTAATGATTGTACTGGTCAAGGTCAGCATAGCACACTCATAGCCAGAAAGGCATGGGAATTAAAAAGCTAGGCAGAGAAATGGGTTACAACCACGCACCTAATGTACATATGTAGATGTGGCAAAACCACTGCATTATAAACACTTGTACGTAATGTATAGTTGTAGCTAAGGGGGTATACCTTTCTCTTTTACTATCGTTTCCATACCTACCTACGTAAATGCAAGTACTATACAAGCTTATAGTCACATTTTATAGTCACTTAATACTAGCATTGTCTTTCCCTCCCTCCCTCTTTCCCTGCCCCCACAGCCTGCAAGGTCGTGGTACATGTCACATGTCAGGAGAAGCTTGAAGTTGACAGCATCCACTGCAAGGATACCTTCAGGGAAATTCGACAAAAACTCAGAGACGTGAGCCGAGAACACTCTAGTAGATTACTGACTCTCTACTCAGTAATCTAGTAGATTACCGACTCCTCTATTCAGTAATCTACTACTTTAGTAATCTATACTAACTTCTCTATTCGGTAATATAGTAGATTACTGACCTTTACTCAGTAATCTCTAGTAATCTATGGTCTGCTCTCTAGCTTTCTCTGTTATTACCAACAGACGGTGGTTGTTCACCATTTCTTGAACCGGCGGAAACCTGTCGGAAAATCAAAGTGCAGCAAGTGTGACAAAGGCTTTGGCAACTGGAAGTTTATGACTGGGAGGGTAAGTTAAGACTGCTCTAGTTAGTGTGTGTGCATGCGTGCAAGTTGACTTGTTTGCCTTGCCTTGCCTTTCTACCTCGCTACCAAGTTGTTGAGACATGCATTTGAATTCATGCAGACAGTAACATCATAACGTGTGGCACAATCTGATTGGTCACTCCGTATCCCTCTCTCTACCTCTGTACAGGAGGTGGTGGCAGTGAGTTGCTCGTGGTGTGGCGACAGCTACCACGTGGCGTGTTTCTCACCCACTCTGAACCAGGAGCCGTGTCACATGGGTCCTCTGAGGAGACTCATCATACAGCCTTCCTGGATCATCAGGGTGCCTAATGTGGACCGAGTGAGTAACACATTGGGAAAAGGACACCCTTGAAATGAGACATCCACCTCTCTAATGTTGTTCTTTCTAAATCGGGGTGGTCACGAATAACATAGTACAATGGAGTTCAATACGCAGTATGCTATAAGGAAATGGGCTAGGGGCTCTAATATGGACCTTTCTTCTGTCCCATTGGTGTCTGGATTAGAGAGGTTCCACTGTATAATGCTCAGGACACCTCACTAATATGACACTTTCTTCTGTCCCATTGGTGTCTGTATTAGAGGAGTTCCACTGTATAATGCTCAGGACACCTCACTAACATGGACACTTTCTTATGTCCCATTGGTGTCTGGATTAGAGGAGTTCCACTGTATAATGCTCAGGACACCTCACTAACATGGACACTTTCTTATGTCCCATTGGTGTCTGGATTAGAGGAGTTCCACTGTATAATGCTCAGGACACCTCACTAACATGGACACTTTCTTATGTCCCATTAGGTCTGGATTAGAGGGTTCCACTCTACCGCTAGTGAGCACGAAATAGAATAAACTAAGCTAGAACTGAATATATTATCTAGGAGTTCTAAATGTGTAAACCTGAACATCTTTAGTACATCACAGCTAGGCCTTATAATAGTGTCAAGTAACCTGTACAACTGGGGTACATTTCAGCCATGTAGCGCATAAGCCACACCTACAGTTGTGTCCTTATGCAATAAGAAAGTGGTTATAGCTCATGAGGAAACGTTGCTTTTCCTTTTCCTACTCTCTGTCAAGGCGGCATCACAGGGAGACGAGTCACCCAAACCGTTCTCAGTAAGTCGACGGAAGACAAGGAAGAGCAGGAGAAGGAAGGTCGAACAGAGACCCAGCAAATATTCCAAAGTGAGTTTTTAATGATCCCTCAACCATTTCCGTAGTATAAATACCTGTACATAATGTGCAGTTCTTCTTCCAAAACCACTCCGCGGTAATTTTTCTGCACACATGGGGATATAGTGCGGGTGATCAATAATATCTAGAAACGATTTAGCTACGGGTGCATAGGTTTTCTGCGTACAGCGAAAAACTGTTTTGTGAGGCAGGGAAATAACCTATCTTCTAGCCTGTTTTGTTAGTGCAGTTACCAAGTAGATGAAAAGCACTAAAGTGTAAACCCTCAGCGAACTGTGCATAATGTGCAGTTCTTATTCCAAAACCACTCTGCAGTATTTTTTCTGCACACATGGGGTATAGTGCAGTTCTTGCTTAAACGTGCAGTTACCAACTAGAAAATACGTAGGAAGATCCACATTCTGAAACCCCAGGAGCTCTCCGTATTAGGACCTGCATGAACAGTACATAATGCCTTCTATGGCCATATACTGTGTATCGAACAACTAAAAACAGTGATGTAATAATGATGTAATGTCTTGCAGTTCTTGTTTTTTGTTGACAAAACTGGACATGTATGCTTGCTTCTCACAATCATTGTCTAGTAACAGCTCCACTGTAAATCTTTCTCGTCCCAAAGGTAAAAGCCTTCTCGAAGCAGCATAAACCGCTGCTGGTG